CCCCTTTGATTTCCCCCCCCCCCCTCCCCAAAACACTCGTGCTCGTGTAGGTGTCGAGGGCACATCAGTGTCCTGTGTACGATATTTTTCGAAGTGCATGGATGTATCGCGGATCTCCTCCAGTCTCGGTCTGTCGACGGACAGAGCGAGCGTTGGGGATTCGCTCTGGTTCTTTCGTTTATCGAACGGAATATTCGAATATCGAGTGCCCAGTTACATTCTATTTTCTCCTCTTCTTTTACTCGGTTCTCTTGCTGTCTCCATTCTTTCCTATTCTAACACCGTTCTCTCGCCCCGTTGCATGCAAGTAAGTAATTTGTAGTCGCGACTACCTTCGACGACTCTCACGACGTTTGAAGCGTGTGTAAGATCTGTGAGCAACGTGTCTGTTTTACCGTTTAATAATTATCCTTTTTGTGATACTATCGTATATTCCGCCTTTTTCTTTATCTCTTTCTCTCTCTCTCTCTCTCTCTCTTTCTCTTTCTGTCTCCTCGTATCATTATTAGTCGTATCATTGGTAGAGTAAATTGTATTAGTACTATATCTTTTTTTAATTGTGTCACACTATTATAGAAAACGCTACTGCTGTTATACTGTCGCTATATTCTCAACACAAGAAACCCCAGTTCACAAGAATCGTCTTTACTTTATGATTGCCTAATATATAATTAAGATGTTAACGACTTTTCAGTGTAATGCTACGTTACGAATGTACTTATGTATAATCGGTACTTTTAAGGATAAGATATTATTATTATTATTATTATTATATATACATATACATTACACACAAGTACATGGTACTATACGTTTTGTAATATTTTCTATTTGCGGCGCCTATATTTCTATGTAGAGAACATACATGTTACTTTTTTCAATCCTATACTCGGACAATGTTTTCTTCCCCCTTTATATATTCTCACCCTCTCTACACTGTTTCTCTTTCTGTGCTTGCCGGGCAGGTACTGCACTACTCGCGACGCTCGTAATTGCGATCGCGTTTCTCTACGCTTGATAATCCTTCGTCGAGAACGGCGAATCTCGTGTTCGTAGCGCGTATGTTTGAATTAATACAGATTCTGTAAGGCTTGCATTTCCCTTCTTATCCATCTCATCAAACGTCATCGTACGTGCTTTGCCACGTCATATCCCACGATCCATGTTGCGATCTCGGTAGATTCTCCCAATCACTCATTATGTACCCGGAGAAAATATTGTATGGTACAAATTATGTTAAAATTATATTTATTTCTACAATGTTCCTTGAAGCTGGACTATACTAAAATTATTATAAAAATATAGAGTAAATTTCACGATCTCTACCTGGTGTATACGATATAAAAAATATTTGAGTAACTATAACAATAATTTTATAGTAGAAAGGCGAACTTACGTACCATTTTTCAACAAATGTTTAGTAATTCTGATCGTCAAGAGATTGTAAAAATTTTGTTGTAATTTTTACTACAATATTTCCTCCGTGTACTCGTCCTTCTCTTTGCATTATTGCATTATTTATTAGATCACAGTCACGTTATATGAACGTTGTATCATCACACGCGAGTCGTATCGCGAGATACAACACTGCACATATTCTTTCTTCTCTCTCTCTTTAAGGTTTTGTCCAGTCATTATCTTTTCTCTTTCTCTCTTTCTCTGCATTGTATGTATGTTCATCTGCACTGCATGCGATCGAATGCGTGTATCATTGCAAGTTGCTGTTATCGATCTGTTGTTTGTCGTATTATTATCATCGGAAGTATATCCGCTCGCGACTTTCGAGCGAAACGATAATGTTTCTTCACAGTGAGGGTGAGGGTGTAGGAGTGACACGTACGAATTCACGGCGTTTGTAGAGCCCGATTTTTTCTTGAAACTATATATGAGAGTCAAGTACATCGGAAAGCACGTACCGAGTACTGTCGTACGAGACAGTTCGCGCGATTTTTCTCGCTCGTGAGAATAATCGAGAGCAAACGTTGATTGATGAAAGAACGCGCACACGCGAACAGCACCTTTTTGCCCTCCACCGTCGTCCTTTACATGTGTAAGACAGACGTCGAAGATAAGCCTCTGTGCAAGCACTGATGACTGACCGATTGTGTCTCTCTGTGTCTGTTCACCCTTAGTGGACTTGGGCCAGCGCGTCGGCCGGTACCGTCTTCTATCAGATGGAGGGATGATAGATGTTTTGTGAGCTCATCGCCAATCACCCCTAATCATCTCTCTCGACTTTGGTGTCATTGGCATTTTAATTATCAGACACATACATACACGTACACATATACACATACACACACAACATGCATATATATATATATATATATATACATACATACATGCATAACACATATACATACGCGCGTGCCACGCAAACATTATGTAGCGCGTCATACGCAGAGACACCGCGAAACATACATCCGTTATCATCGCCGAGCGTCGCGAGAGAACACACGTTCGGCGTCTACTACGTTTAATTACATTTAAGCTTTTGTACTTGAGTTAGCATTTTATTTACGCTGCGTAAAAGGAAGCCAATGTGATTTTTTTCTACGTAAAGAAGAAAAAGTAAAAAAAAAGGAGCAATTGAAGAAGAAGGGTGGAAAGATAGGACGGAAGGAAGGAGATCGATACTAACCGTTATCTTGCCGTTACAATTGATAATGATTTCACGCGATCTCGTTGCACGAGCCGATAGCGACTAGACATTAGGTTTTGCGAGTGAGTGATTTAAGTGCATTGTCGAGTGAATGCTGGTGGAGGATGACTGGAAGCGGAAGCAGCGGCGAGCGAGAGTGATTGGGACGCGAGAATATTTATTGTCCACGTAAGGATCTAATCAAAATTAACATACTCTCT